ATATATATATATATATATATATATATATATACAGATGTGAGCTGCTAAAGAAGAAATCGATGCTATTGCCTTCCAATACAGTCAGCGACCTCATAGACATCTGATGCCCCCCCGAAAACAAAGTACTAAACATTGGTGAATATGGTAGATGATCAAGTGAGAAACTGAGCTACACCTCAACATCCTGGATCCAAAGTACACAACTCGTTTAACCTGGTAGGCTGCTGTTCCCGCAAACTAACTGCATGACGCCTACAGTCGAGGTCCAAACAGCTTATCGGAGGAGTCATGACCTATTGATTGCAGCCTCGTCTAGAAGGAAGGAACCACCTGTTTTAATCCTCAAACTCCCCTCCTCCCCAACAAAACAACAGCTCAGAGTATTATGTGAACTCTCTGTCGTCTTGCCACTTAGATCATCGAGAGGCTATTCAGTTTATAGACAGAGTCCTACGAGGGGGTCATTACATTATCGCTGTGAGACAAGTACAGTAACGGGCGAACGGTATCTTCGAGTGACGCGTAATACCAGAACCTCTGGAATGCAAAACAAAGTCGGAGCTGGGTTTCTATACGGTACTATTAATGTAAGACAAATTCACAAATTATACAAACCTCGATGGTAGATACTCGTCCAAAACAAATGGTCCACTTGGACTACAAAAGTACAAACCAAAGGAGCAAACACACTCCCACGTGCGACAGTCACACGTGCAAAGTCGGCCACAAATGGCCGGATGACCTCAAGGCCAAATGGGTGAAGTGGTAAGGACAAACAGTTCATATACACACAATAAGCACAAAAGTGGTTACAAACGGGGACAGAATAAACGTGGCAAATTTCAATTGTCAACGTAATGGATGATACACCGCCCGCCAAATTCTCCACATCGATTCAGCGGACGCCCGGGTTCTTGCATTCTACCTACGCTCAGCTCCAACCAGCCCCATCAGCCACCGGCACTCCTGCCACAAGTGCTGGCTTCGATGGAGTACAAGCCTAACCGTGTCCCTCCAGTGAACATACCTTTCTAATATCTCTCTTAAGAAAGTCGTTCGCCGTTCTAACATGCAGGGTTCTTACTAAGCCATCTAGGCTCGCCTCACAACCATCCACTACCCCTAGATGCCATTTCTCACGAGACAGATCCTCACCCGAGACCAGAACCTAATACCCTCGTTTCAATTCTTGAGATGCTCTGAGTCACTTGGTACGCACCTGCAACGTTGGCAGATATTCCCTTATCCAACGACGCCAGAATACGCCAACGAGATAATTGACCTGCTTCCAACCGGTATGATATCGCGAGGCCAAACCGTCGCGACTGGGTACCGCAGGACAACAGCGGATGAGCAACTAACTGTTTGCAGTAAGCGGCTACAAGTCGTTGCTGTCTGATGAAAGTGGGACTATAGGTCGGTTAGTTAGAATCCGTTCTGCCTGTATAAGGAGCGTGTACAGCTGTTCTTCAGTCAAACGCTGTTCCTTACATGGACATAAAAGGATACGTCATACTGACCTGATTATACGCTCCCACACATCATCACGGTGGCTAGCTGCCGGTGGGTTGAATTGCCACTGTATATCCATCGTCAAAAGCCGGTCTGATATTTTACTCGGACTCCACCGCTTTATATCATCCCGAAATTCCAGTGACGCACCAACGAAGTTCGTACCACTATCACTGTAGATATCGATGGGTTCGCCACGTCCACCAAAGAATCGAATCAAACAGTGTAGGAATAAATCGGTCGACAGATTGCCTGCCATCTCCAAATGGATCGCTCTAGTCTTCAGATAGCTAAAGATACAGTCATAGCGTTTTTCCTACGAACGGCCGCGTTTGGTCTTGAAAGGTCCAAAGTAGTCAACTATCACGCACTGGAAGGGACACCAACCAGCTTCTACTCTGTCTGCCGGTAATGGAGCCATCATTTGAGTACCGGGCTGTGCGGACCACCGCCTGCATGAAGAGCAAGCACCAATCCCTTGTTAAACGGCGCCGGTCCCATTGATAATCCAATATCGCTGTCGGATAGAGGCCATGACCTGCGCTACTCCACAGTGCCCTTCCACATCATGAAAGTGACGAATGATCAAGGCAGTAACAGGATGTCAGCTCGGAAGAAGAGCCGGATGTTTTACTGACTGACCGTAGTTCGAGTAACAAAGTCTGCCACCCACGCACAAAATGCTATCGATCAAAACAGGTGACAATTTTTGCAAGCTGCCGTTTTGATTCCGGTTGCTGGGAGGCTTCGCATCCAGAACAGAAGCGTCAATCTGATGCAGCTCTTGCCCGAAGTGACTGAATTGCACGAACTTTATCGAACAATTACGTGCTTGGCGGAGTTCGGATTATCAGATAACACCGGAACGTAAAGCCTCTTTTCTCGCTTTGCCCGCCTTAATCAATAAATTGCCACCCACAAATGCTATCGATCAAAACAGGTGACAATTTTTGCAAGCTGCCGTTTTGATTCCGGTTGCTGGGAGGCTTCGCATCCAGAACAGAAGCGTCAATCTGATGCAGCTCTTGCCCGAAGTGACTGAATTGCACGAACTTTATCGAACAATTACGTGCTTGGCGGAGTTCGGATACTCAGATAACACCGGAACGTAAAGCCTCTTTTCTCGCTTTGCCCGCCTTAATCAATAAATATTGCCTGTAACCCAGTAACAAGGCCACGACCTTCGGTAGCTTCATTCAACAGGAGAACCGAGACATTAGTGGGCACATGAAGTCATTTCCCTTCAATCGGTTAACCTGTGCTACAAGGCTCTTCAGCTCGAGACCATCGGGCTACGTACATCCTGGCTGTGGAAACCAGTTACTCTCTAGTTCGAGTAAAACCCCCGTTACCCATCTAATCAGCGGGCCGAGGTTATATGTCCATCGAAAGGCAATGTCAACTGGAGTGTTTTCTTTCGACTCATGTCTCCATTGAGTAGGTGACGACATGTGACGAATTACTGATAGGCGATTTGCAACAAAGGCACAAAATCTGGAAGATACGTTGTTGATGTAGTAGAGAACAATCATAGAGTCCGTCCAAAACACCGTACGTTGGAGGTAGTCCTTCGTACTTGCCCTAATTAAATCTGCTACTCGGACTGCCAAGCACATGGCTGTTAACTCTCAACTTGGTATCGAAACGGACTTGAGGGGGCCACCCGCGCCTTCGAGAAGACAAGCGAACAACCAGAAACGTCGGCGTCCACCATGAAGCGAGCATATGCTAACACACTATATGTGGTCTCCGATGCATCACAAAATACATGAAGTTCGGTGTGTGGAATACCACCAACCTCTCTAGGCTTTATACACCTAGGAAATCGCAAGTCATGGAGGCTTCGAAGGCTAGATAACCAGTTATCCCGGCTCGCCCCAACGAAGTCCACCTTTGCACAGGGATTGCAGTAGACACTTGCCTGGTATTAACCACGGAGAAACAAAGCCCAGAGGATCATACAGTGGAGATATATAGGAAGGAACACCTCTGTGTGTTGGCGGTTTCGTCGGCAAATTAAAGGCAATCACAACTGTATCGGATTCCGTATCCCACTGCACCCTTAAGGCAAGCTCCATTGGTAATGGGTCCGTAGTTAAGTTTCTCACACCGGATGTGAGTTCGGTTGGATCAATGGCTGACAATACCCCGCGATCGTTGGAAGACCAGTTCCTCATGCTGAAACCTCCCTTTGAGAGCAAAGCACTTATCTCACCAACGAGGCACTTGGCCGTTACAGAGTCCGGCAACGAGTTTAAGCAGCCATCAACATATAGATTATTGTCTATTGCGCTGCAGGTTGAGATGGCATAATCTGAGCCAAATTCCTCAAGGGCCTTTCCTAAGGCGAACGTTGCACAGAAAGGGATTGGAGGTGGCTGACACTATAGTAATGGAAATGGTCGGTTTTGGCCCTGGAGATGACCCTCTGATGTCATTAGCATATCCTAGAGGTCTTTCATCTATCTGACATGGTTTCACGTACCGCGTTACTCGTTCATTTGAGGCCACTGGTTCCCAGACTTCATCTCGTGAGTTCTCTTCGGCCTCTAGCTCAATTTTGACTAACTCGGTTTTGCTGTGTGCCCGCTGGAGCTCGACCTCTGGCTTAACCCGATACTCGTGGAGCTGAGCAATCTTTAAAGCTTTCTTAGCTACTCTACTTTCACGACTAGACGCACAAAGTGACTTACAAGAACCGGGGCGCGAAGCAAACTGCATTCCAATCGTTTACTCTGCAGTTTCAATCGTTTCCGCGTCCTTGGATCCGGTTCCCTTCACAATAGTTCCAAGGGTACTCGACATGTTATGTCGTCTTGTTTGAAGTAAAGATGTCAACTTTTGGAACCACTGTGAAGGGAACCGGATCCAAGGACGCGGAAACGATTGAAACTGCAGAGTAAACGATTGGAATGCAGTTTGCTTCGCGCCCCGGTTCTTGTAAGTCACTTTGTGCGTCTAGTCGTGAAAGTAGAGTAGCTAAGAAAGCTTTAAAGATTGCTCAGCTCCACGAGTATCGGGTTAAGCCAGAGGTCGAGCTCCAGCGGGCACACAGCAAAACCGAGTTAGTCAAAATTGAGCTAGAGGCCGAAGAGAACTCACGAGATGAAGTCTGGGAACCAGTGGCCTCAAATGAACGAGTCACGCGGTACGTGAAACCATGTCAGATAGATGAAAGACCTCTAGGATATGCTAATGACATCAGAGGGTCATCTCCAGGGCCAAAACCGACCATTTCCATTACTATAGTGTCAGCCACCTCCAATCCCTTTCTGTGCAACGTTCGCCTTAGGAAAGGCCCTTGAGGAATTTGGCTCAGATTATGCCATCTCAACCTGCAGCGCAATAGACAATAATCTATATGTTGATGGCTGCTTAAACTCGTTGCCGGACTCTGTAACGGCCAAGTGCCTCGTTGGTGAGATAAGTGCTTTGCTCTCAAAGGGAGGTTTCAGCATGAGGAACTGGTCTTCCAACGATCGCGGGGTATTGTCAGCCATTGATCCAACCGAACTCACATCCGGTGTGAGAAACTTAACTACGGACCCATTACCAATGGAGCTTGCCTTAAGGGTGCAGTGGGATACGGAATCCGATACAGTTGTGATTGCCTTTAATTTGCCGACGAAACCGCCAACACACAGAGGTGTTCCTTCCTATATATCTCCACTGTATGATCCTCTGGGCTTTGTTTCTCCGTGGTTAATACCAGGCAAGTGTCTACTGCAATCCCTGTGCAAAGGTGGACTTCGTTGGGGCGAGCCGGGATAACTGGTTATCTAGCCTTCGAAGCCTCCATGACTTGCGATTTCCTAGGTGTATAAAGCCTAGAGAGGTTGGTGGTATTCCACACACCGAACTTCATGTATTTTGTGATGCATCGGAGACCACATATAGTGTGTTAGCATATGCTCGCTTCATGGTGGACGCCGACGTTTCTGGTTGTTCGCTTGTCTTCTCGAAGGCGCGGGTGGCCCCCTCAAGTCCGTTTCGATACCAAGTTGAGAGTTAACAGCCATGTGCTTGGCAGTCCGAGTAGCAGATTTAATTAGGGCAAGTACGAAGGACTACCTCCAACGTACGGTGTTTTGGACGGACTCTATGATTGTTCTCTACTACATCAACAACGTATCTTCCAGATTTTGTGCCTTTGTTGCAAATCGCCTATCAGTAATTCGTCACATGTCGTCACCTACTCAATGGAGACATGAGTCATCGGAAAACACTCCAGTTGACATTGCCTTTCGATGGACATATAACCTCGGCCCGTTGAGTAGATAGGTAATGGGAGCCAGATTTTTTCACATTTCGTCGATGCAATAAGAAAGCACGTTTATGGTTCTCACATTCTAGTTTGCCATCCATGAATCGTGTGCCAAAGTTTCAGTTTCCGAATTTAGAGAAACTATACAGCGAACGTACTATAAGAGCGAATAGCCCAACCAGATCACTGCATTTGTTCACATTTCCTGATAAAGTCAAAACTGAAACAGCTATCCGGACAGCTATGCGATTCTCGGCGAAGTGGCGAAGGACCAAAACACTTCTCGAATCGGGAAGGTCAGAGCAGTGTTCGCTAACCTCCGACATTTGTGACGCCGAGGTGACATCAGCTTGATCGTCAAATGTGCAAGATTCTGCGGTCGGATCTGCAACACAGTGTGGATTAGGGACTAGGCCACTACATACAGGTTTTCGGAGGATGTGTGACCATCGGTTTTTCCTCTAAAGTGCTACGCGAGTATGGTAGGAGCATCAGATTAGCAATGGTTTCTGAGAAAGTTTACTCTTCTTCGATAGATCAGCTGGTCAAACTCCGCAGGTCGCACTGGTTAGGCCATATACTTTGTAGTTCAGAGAACCGTTGGCCTCTTGGAACTCTCTTCGCCCAGCATTGTATCGGAGTTAAACGACCTGGGAGTGATCGGTCTATGACCTGGCAACGAAAGCAGTCACACTGGTAGCTGACGTCTCTCGGGATAGAGATCCCAACACAAACCAATGGTTAGTGATCTTGACGTATATACTGTGTAACAGCCAATTAAGCTCTTGCATTAAGGCCATGGCCTTCACAGCTTAACTCTCAATCCCTGCCACTTCAGATAAACAGGATAATTCAACGTCAATGACCTGATTGGGCCATCGCCTCCAACGCATGGCACACATTCCCTTATTCTCCTTATCCCTCTGTAGCAGCTGGAACCAATACACCTCAGTGCATGGTTGGTCAGCTGAAAAGTGGACTGCACGGAGGAACCAAACTTGATAGTCCCAAGCAAGGGTGCCATTGAATATGTGACAGGATCAGATTTGTCATCCTGACTGAGTCCTGATGTACCAGTTATTCTCGCAGGAGGACGGTAGAGACTGGATTGTCCTGATCATAGCTTGGAACGATTTGAGATGGATCTCTCTGAGCCGTTTTCATCCTGACTGGATCGCATCCGAACAAACGTCTTCTGACGTACCAAACTAACATCGCTTGTGGAGTGCAACTAGCCTGTCTAAATTAGAGGATATTGTGCCGCGGGGCATTCTGATTCAATGTTCCATCTAACTCTGGTTGCGATTTAGATACGCCGAAGACCAAGAAATGGAAACCTTCCAATATGTTGTTCGCGTAGAGGTCACGGTTATGACTTGCAAGTGAGTGTGAATCAGGTTGCGGTATCATATACTCTTGAGAGTTAGGCTGACTTCACAGGAATTATATACTGGCAATCCCAGCCTGTGAAATTCCGGAACTACTGGAAGATGGGTGGTTTGACAGATTGGATTTTTGTTTCAGTTTCGAAAACACTCATCGACCAAGATGAAAAAGCAAACTAGGGAAATAAACAGCAGCAAGGTAATAGTTATCGTACGTACCTCATGTTCTTGGCCTCCTCGATGAAGTCGTCCTCATTCATTGCTCCTTCAACCATTTGTTTGACAGCAACCGGAGTGTTTCGGAATTTGCCTCGCTTGACAACCTGTTCAAGGAGAGAGATATTGAAATTAGGATAGTGTGAAGGACTGTTTACGTGAATAAGGAAACACTGAAAATACACATCGAGAACGTGAAACTACAAGTCAAAGAAGAACCGCACTCAAACCACTCCACCGACATTGTAAGCATAAGACAAGCAGGGTATGCCACAAAACGGGTGGTGTGATTGAAACAATGCGAAAATGTGTCCAAAATCTAATTAACAAATTTAAATGTAGAATCATTGAACTACCAGAATTAGGTGACCGACAATACAGATGCAGAGAAACCGACAAGTTACACAACACGAGTTACGGTGAAGTAAAAAATGTTAGTTCCTATTCCAGAAATAATTCACATGGAAGGAAAATGTGTAGTTGTGTCTTCGTTCGGTCGCAAGAGAGGCCCATTCAGAGTTGTTCCTACTCCAATAAGATCTGTGGAACTAAAGGCTAACTTTATCACCGAATTTAACTGAGAATTATGTTCTACAGAGGTGTACGGTTAAAAGAACAACACGAGTATACAACGCTCTTTGCACCCGAGACGACGCTAATGAATGCCGGTTTATCACAACGCAATTGAGAACAGTGTCAACAAGCAGCAGAAAAGTGAAGGTGGTGACCGAACCGCAAAGCTCTTCTTTGAGGACGNGTTACGAACAAACAGACGGAAGAACACATCCGCCTCCTTTCGATAAACGGCCAACAGTTCTGGCACAAAACAACCCAACACATTCCTTGTTTCATACTAAATTCCTTCTGTAGATTCAAAGTGAAGAATATGTTTGGTTATTGGATGTCAAATTGTTTTAAAAGTGACTGATCACTGAATTCCTTGTTGAGTACGCCATGACATGGGTGGCGTTTGTTCACCGGATAGCATGTGACGTGTAACTCTGATATTTATCAGATAAGTATGCCCCCTGAAAGTTAGATGGATAAACCATTCGGTTTAGCACGAGAATGACGGGTAGTCTATATGTGGCTAAGACTCAAAAAGGATGGATTTCGCTCTAGTGTTGAAAGAACCGAGGTTCGCGAAGAAACAGAAGCAATATTTTTCCATTCTTTAACCAACTTCTCTGGGTGTGTTCCAGACACAAGGTGTGGTAGGTGAATAATGGAGCTTGGGGTTTCATGGTTCGGATGAGAAAATCACTTAATGTGTGGTATATACTACTGGGAATGGTTATTCATCGTAAAGACAGAGAATGACGCCTACGACACTGTAGCAGGGTCAGCAAAACCTATGCGTCTGCATCCAATGCACCAGCATATGAACGTCCAGTTTTAACAGGATTATTTCTATCAAAAAGCTCGATCAACCAAAGTGGGCACAAAAAGGAATGTCAGAACTGACGGAATCTCGATAGACCCGGCTCAGTAACGTGAAGGAACAGCAGAGAACAGACATCCTCGGTTTACCATAACCGTGCCCGTTTTCACAGCGAACACTGCCTGATACCGGTGACACACTTTGATTACCCTGTACGGCACTGGAAGACGGAGACTCTAACCGCTATCCATAAGGAGTTGAAAATGCTTTTTGAGTTCCTGACCGGGGCCACTTACCAGTCACAAAAAATGAAACGTCCAGATCCTTCCGCCCTAGAGAAGATACATTCTAGATAAGATCAGTAGCATGTTGACGGACTAGACCACATTCTAGTCTACTGAACCCATGGAGCATGCATTAACAAAGGAGTTGCGAGCAAAGACACAGAACAATCATACAGCCACTAGAGAAGATAAATTTTGCCTCGTGCTATCAGTGTTTCCCGACTTGACCTCTTCGCCCATCCGAAAGTTCTGTAAATAGTCGGATACATTCCCCCCGAACATCTTAAAGTACGATAATGAAATTTTCATCGTCTGTTTCTCATATGACGTCCCAATTGGGTAGCGTTTCGGGTGTAAACGAAAGGTCAGAAACAGGTGACACGCCTGTCCTTACCAGACTGAGGAAAAAAGATTGAACGAAAACATGTGCACAGGAAGCCGGCACGTTACAAAGATGCCGGCTATGATTCAACAATAGTATCCCATCTGTAAAGCTCATTCAGACGGCAGCAAACATTAAAGATGTCAAATTGCAGCCACGGCGTGCCCCTGATCGAGTGAAGTCGGACTGGCAGAGGGGAAGTATGTTAATTTGTTGGAAACATTTGTCCCCCTCCCACAATAACAAGCACATATCACTTGTCAATGGACTGTAGCAGGGCAATGTGCCGCAGCCCATTACAAAGCAAGTCAGCTCTAATCAAAATGACACACCAGAGGAGACTAATCTATCAGACCGGAGGAGATCAAAGCTGAATAGCTGTTCAGCCCACCAAAAACAATTCCATAAGAATACGGTAACCTGTAGTGTTTAGACTTTATTTATGGTGAAATGCAGAACTAAACAGTGCCTATACTGAACACAATTATCTATGGACAAAAGTACGGAGGAACTGTGAATCTATCTTGTTTGACGGCTGATCGGTCGGAAACTATTTGTTCTCGTTCGACCATCGAGGGATTACATGACAAGTCAAAAAATTGTCGAAAAGAGTGAAATTCCTATCCGAATTTGCGTCACCCACTCCCCTAACTATACACGCACCCTAGCATCTTAGTACTAGATTAATTCCTGTGTCCTAAAGTCATATGACAGATCTTTGCGACTAGTAGAGTCAGATTGGTGATAATTGCAAGAACATATTGAATGAGACCGTTTAGAACCGAAGGGTACAGTGAATCTAGAAGTGAAGAAAGCGTAGCGTTTCTTCCCGATCTCTGATTGTCTCGCGTAAACTTGCTGAAAACGATTCAGTTTTTTCGAAGCTAGGATATGAAAAGTTTTGTAATGTTTTGACTGCAAAGTCCCAAGAACCATAAACCCAAATAAGGGAAGTTGTCACGCGGTGCACTTGGATGCGGGTTATTTGTCTGGGCTGCTGGGTCATGCGCTTGTTTTCATCACCAGATATATTCTGTACGCATTGTATTGAATCCCATTTTATTATACTTTTTAATGTCTACTTCATGTATACGTTTGAGTACAAAAATTCAACGACAGTCAATTAGTGAAGGCGGTCGTGGTTGGTTGCGTATGGAGGACCCAAGTTCAGTGTCCCCCATGCGTGCCCTGTGATTGCTTGCAGACCGTCAGCTTGTTTGATCAGTGAAACGAAGATATCAGTTAAGGTCCGATATTTCCTCTAGACCGTAGTGACCGTGGGGGACTACCATGAATGGGAGTTAAGAATGGCGAACGAAAAGGATGGAACTGTACGATGATGTGCGGACAAACGAAAAAACGACTACAATTGTCAGGTGGGTGCAAAACAACGACCCAGAACGAATAAATAACCTGAATAACTCGTAAAGATGCTTAGAAGTGACTGTACCATAGGAAAACATCTGCAAAATATCCTAAACTATGTCAAGCTCACCCCAAATTGTCCCTTTCCGATAGGCTTAGGTTCCAGTTGAAGTTCCGCAGGATCCAATTCGAACAAGTCCAATCCCATTCCCGCAGTGACTGGACTTTCACGATCTTTTGTGGGTGGGGAACGCAGTCGTACAACCAAACCACCAGAATTGTGCTTGTGGTAGTGAATCACATCACTGATTGTGGGGAAAGCATGTTTTTCTGACAAATAGTATTGAGCTTCTGTACCGGTATTCGGTGTGCCCAGGCGACAGTTATTCGGTGCATTCCCGTTGCTGGTGACTGGAGTGGTCCCATTCGTCAGGCCATTCCCGTTGGGATGACCATTGGCAGTCACGGTCTCAGTCCGATGTATGTGATAGTGGTGGACTTTCAGCTTACCAGGGCTATATCAACAGCATGAACAGATGAATGCGATGATGAGTTGACGGATCGTATGTAGTCAGATCACGCAATGCACAAGTTAGTGTTAAGACTTGGGAGACAGAAAATCGGACGTACATGATAGGTAATACAGATAACACTACAGAAGCTAGGCCAAGCAAGCGAGATAGCTTCGAACGCCAAGACCCACTACCAGCTAAAACCAAACAAAGATGGGAAGAATGGTAAGGAAAGAAGAGACCAAAACCTGACTGGTCATACCAAGGTCGCCACCCTCAAATATCCGAGAATCAAGCAGACGTATATCAGTAGCTGGAGCGCAAATTTGCTGACCGGAATAACCATGGTTCGAACCAAACCTCTGCCCCTCGACCTCCTCTGGGAACCTGGCAGTATTCGAACTCTCGTGCTTCATTCTGATGGCATGGCAGTTTGAGATTGAAAGGGTGCTACAGCTGAAGGATTGTCAGTGCCTGATTTCAGAGCCCTAACAAAGAGACAAGGACCGTCTTCGCAAATCTGGTCTCACAGAGACACTGGAAGATGTGTCGGGACCCTGTCTACCCATACTAGAGATGGTAAGGTACCGCTATCTACCCCCCAAAGTACAACCCCATATGATTCTAAAGATATAGATTACTTCATTTCAGCATAGAACGAGTGATGTTACAGGCACTGGTTCGCAGCTATCATACAACATTAGAAGACCTGTTTGAATAATTTATTGATAGGACTTGCGCGACAGCTCACAATGGTAACTATTTCAACACGTCCCAGTTGTAATATTACAGATGACACTGAAATCAGGAACTTGTATGCAACAACGCGCAAGGATGCGTTTATTTTAAACGTGGAAATAATTAAAGCGTTTTTTGTAAACCCAGAATACATCTAAGAGCAACACCGAGTCTTCGAGGGCATGCAGGGTCTTGAATATAAACCTGGGCACTCGTGATATGAGGAGCCGAGTCCGCAGCCTTTCTCTATCAGGTGCGTTATCATGGATGATGTCCAACATCAGGCGAAAACTTTGAGATTGCGAGTGTCTGTTACAAGGGGCGCTTGTGGCTAACTGGCAGTGTATCACAATAGTTTTGACGCATGTTAATCACTTGGCCAATGGTCAAATCCGAAACAGATATTTTCCCTACTTCTTGGAGCTCAGAATCAGTTTTGCCTTCATTCGGGCTCTTCAGATAAGCAGTTTCCCAGTTTCCAACAAACTTGTGTCTCACCTGAACAGGAAATTCTACACAACACTAATTTGCAGACTACGCTGGCATTGAAGGGATGATCAACTAATGAGTACACCTACTTGATGCGTCTGAAAGCACTTATACGTCTGTTCTCCTGTAGCACACTTTATGATCAATAAGGACCCAGTAGTTCTCTGGTGACCAAAGAACGCATATACAAATGTGTAATAAATAGTAACCGTTCAGCTGTAACTCTCTTTCGGTGCTTAGATGCTATACCACCCGGAGGAATCACGAAGGCTGAGATACTGTTAGGCTGCTCAAGCCTAGACAAGGGAAATCGTGAGGCGGAGGTCGGGTTCGAAGCACGAACCTTTCAGTCAGTAAATTCGCGCTCTAACCACTAAACCACTTCGCACAAATGTGTAGGCAAGTGGAGTTAACTCCAGTTATCGTTTATTCTAGGGAGTGTATAACGGAAGGCACGACTAGGGGAAATAAGATGAGTTAACGACAAAAGCAAACTAATTCAATTATTTATTTTGATTCCGGTAGTAGTCCTGGAAGTTCTCGTTTCTACGGAGTGCTGAATGATGCGGCGACACTAAACAGCGAGTTGGTACTTCGATAATTAGACAGAATTTATTCGAATCAGGTCTGACGACGGAACAATTTGCGGCAATACGTGGCGCTATTCTTTACCGGGTTTGTGAAGAGGGGAAATGAAACAGCTGTCGTTTAACAAGGCCATCAATTTACCCGCAAGCATCCATCTAGAGGACATGAACGTCAAAATAATTGCGGTGTATGCATTCATCTCTGGAAGCGAATTCCACCACTGTGTGTGTAAACTAGCAACCGATGTATTGTTGCGATTACTCTGTGAATAGTTTAATTAGATTGGCGGACACAGTCTTCAGACATTTAGACTTAATGATGGTGGAGCATGACTGTGGATGATTTCGTCACTTCTGATGAGTGTCTGTTGAAGAGGCATTTTAATGCAATCGGTGCCAAAAGATTCGATGACTTCGGTCGGAAAAAAAGAGAAATCAGCCATCCCGTGCAACTCAGTAGTGATGTATCTAAGCTTACTGCAAAGAGTTTGTGGACACACATCAGAGACACCAGCATTGACTAGGCAACAGACAGCGATCAAAACAGCGGGAAATGTATTCTACGCGAGGACTCATATGGTCACAACAGCAAAAATCCAAGAACGGGTAGGGCAACATTATGATATTCTTTGTCTGGTTGAATAACAGACAAGTCACATTTGTCCACATTTGTCACGAATGAGGGTAGGAGCACCAAACTGTACCTACTATGGTGTGCGGCTGTCAGACATAAGTGTACAACAGAATGAGTCAGACCAAAGATATGTCTGCTGTTGCACGCGACAGTGGAGAATGTGACGCACATCGTGATTCAATCGAAGTTGGGGAGACCACCGGGAAATGGAGGTAGAATTGTGAGATGTAATAGAGGAGGGAGGAATACACATACACAAGATATTCTGATCCAGTAAACACATGTTGCTATATTCGGAACAAATTTGCCAAAATATTCGACATACTTATGGCTGGGACGAACAACGAAGGGAGGAGGGTCTACTGAACTCAGATATACATCGCACCCTAGGAACATCAAGTTCTCTGGTACATTCCGCTGTGCACCTAAGGGATTCAGTACGGAACCAATCAACAAAAACAATTGGATACTTCTATAGCATCGCACCTGTGGCGGCTTCAACACAGAGAAAACGATTCACTCAAAACGAGGGTTTTTTGCATTCCTCGTAATGGATACCGAAAAACCCTAGGCGTACCCTGTATAGCCCAATAGTTGGCCGTGGCCTGTCGTGAATCACACGATGGAGACGAAAAGCAAACAAAGCACTCAATTGGTCCGATGTGGCCCTTGACTCATTTGCTATGACCGATAAAACTGAGGGTCAGGAACTCGTGTATCATTCATCCTGATAAAACCATAACATAGTTGCTTTAGGATTCAAACTGATGAGGCTCGAGATGACGGGCCCAAACACATCAGGTTCCCCGAACAACAACAATCAAAAGGTATTATTAGCCACCTGAGTTATCTGTCTACCAATTACAAAACTAGCTTTCATTACAAAGTTATTTTTCGAGCAGGTTTGTCCGTTATGCGTCCTTTATATATATATATATATATAT